CCCCCCCCCCAAACCCTCTCTGGACCCTGCTAGCCCCTTTATCCCCCCCCCAACCCCACCTGCAGAGCCCACTAGCCCTCTGTCCCCCAACCCCAGCTTACTTTAGATTGAGCTCCTGGCACCTATCTAATTACGGAGTTAGATTAGGGGGCTATTTTTAACCTGATCTAACTCCCTGAACTTCTAACTGTACAGGAGACCCTTGCCATTTGTGGGGGATACGTTCTAAATATCCCGCGAATGGCGAAATCTGCAAATACTGATGGGGCTCCCTGTCAGACCCCCACAGCTGCCCCCTGCTCCCCTCCCCACCTTGTTCAATGAAGAAGCTGGAAGTGTGGGGTTTCCCTGCAGTGCCTGGGGACTGACCCCTTCCTCCCACCACGCCACGAACACTGAGCGCTGCCACGCTTGCCTCTGAGGGAGAAGATACCGCTGCCACTTCTCTCCTTGTCCCTGGCGCTCGCTCTCCACCCGCCTCCCAGCTCTGCCGTCCCCCGCCCTGCGCAGTGCTCCGTGCCTGGCTTATGCAGAGGCAGGAGCTCAGTGCAGTGCCAGAGGGCGCCATGGCGGCACTCGCCCCAACCCACCCTGAGCGCAGCTGTGCTGTTGGTGCGGTGCACCACGAATATTCGAATCCGTGAATAGCGAGGGGTTCCTGTAATGTCTGTATGAAACCTAAGTTTCCTAATGCTGATGCTGGTTTGGATGCTAGCCTCTAGGTACCTTGTTTGTGTTCAGAGCTACATGCCGTATACAGGCCTTGATAGTTTTCCATGTGCTTTAATGAAAGTGAGCCTAAAATAGTGTAATGTGCCTTGTATTGTCTTTCTTAAGTTGGCATGCTGCCATTTTAAAAATGAAAGAACTGCCATACCAGGTCAATCCAGGGCTCCATTTAGTCCAGTACTTTGTCTCTGTCAATGGTCAGTACCAGCAGCTTTAGTGAATAATATGAGGAGTCACCTAATGGACAAGATTTAGAATAACAGGCTTGCTCTCAGAGGACTTTTCTTTTTACCATCAAGCTGTTAGAGGTTGGCTTATGCCTCAAAGAATGAGAGTTTAGATCCTGTGTAAGTTTCATGCTAGCAAATGTAATTTTGTATGTTTTTATTTTCATAGATGTCTACTTTTTAATCCTGCTAACTCTTGATCTCATTCATATCTTGCAGCATTGAGTTCCAGAGAGTCATTTTATACCATGTACTCTGAAGGGCCATATAAACTAGATTTGCTGGTTTATGGGATGAAGGGATACAGTGAGGCAGTACAATTCCTATCAAGCTCCTTTTTTTAGTGTTACCTTAGTTTATCTCAGCTTGTCCAAAATGCCATTTCCCTTGTACCTTATATATTCAGCAACACAGTAGGGGAGTTCTCCCTAGCCATACCTAGCACATTCAGCAGTAGGTACCTATATTCACAGGAGACCTCCATTTCTTTTCTGTTAGAGTGGATCAGAGCTGTACGTGACATACTGAGTTGAATGGGTTGAACTGTTGTCTCTTCCTATTATCCTTCTCAAGTAAAAGGTGATCCTCTGTTCCCTGTTCTTGCCTCTAGTCTGCTTTAGCTGTGTGTTGCTTCAGCTTTTCATCTCTGTGGCTTGTTCCACAATGAGCAGCAGCACTTTACTTCCATGAGAAATGAGCAAGATCTCTGTGTAATTCTCACATCCTTTTGGGTTGTTACCATTTCAGACCTTGTTGCCCAGTATAACATGTATTATTATAAAGTATCTCATAAGGGAGATATCCTTTTGTGGTACTGCATTGTGACTACCTATTAAAGAGATTCTTTTTCCTGGACAATGCAGCCAGAGAAGATCTTGCTTTGGGGCTATGACATCACCTTGGCCGAGAGATTTTATCTGATCACACTCGACTGACAGTAAATCATTGTTCTTTCTTCAACCCAGCAGTTCAACATTCAAGGACTTAGAGGGGAATAGTCTCAAGGATAGCGGGCATGAGGAGAGTGACCAGACTGACAGTGAACATGATGTCCAACGGGGCCTATATTGTGACACCGCCGTCAATGATGTGCTGAATACCAGCGTTACTTCTATGGGGTCTCAGATGCCTGAACAAGGTAGGCTGTGTCAATACAAGATGTTGCATTTAAAGGGAGAACCTTGGAGCTCCCAGTCTGTAGTAACAATAAATAGCTGGCTGCAGACAGCTCTAATATTCCCTTGCTTAGGTGTGCAATCAGGATATTAGCACTTACTGTGTAAAATGCTTTATATCATCAGTGCTATGCAGATATAAATTAACCTTTGAAACCTTTGCAGTCAGGTAAGTAAGTAGCCAGAATTATCCTCCCTTTCAGTGCCTGAGTCTCTGAGCATTTGTATACCAGCAGGTTAGTAGCAGAGTTTGGATTGGAGCAGAAGTTACTTGCTTCAAACTTCCTGCATGCTTCCTTTGATCTTGCTGTCCCAGTTAAAGATCCTGTGCCTTATTTTTTTACACACTCTAGCAGCATTTCAAGAGATCTTGAGCAGATGTCATCCAAACAACAGTTCAGAAAGGTCAGCTGACTGTTTATGCACATTATGCACACATTTCGTTGGAGATTTAATCAGTCCAGTGGGCAGGATATTTGTTTCCCTACCCCTCCGTGCATATATACTGCATCATTTCACCCACCCAAAGAGGGAGACCACATGAATATTTGGAAAATCAAGCCATGGTACACGCTCAAATGAATATTAGCTTGGGGGGAAAAAAGTGAGAGGAGTTTAGCTGTGCTCAAGTCTTTGTATACTTGGAGGTTTGCATCAGCTTTTAATGTCTTTCTGATGCAAACCTCCTATGCAAACATCCTGTCTTTTTCAATTAAGAAGTATGAATGCTGTTTGGTGCTCAAGCTCTGGGAAGCCTCAGGGTGCTTGGCTCTATCTCGAGATAAGCTGTAGCTGAGGCTCAACTGGAAGCCCCACTGCTAAAAGACTTAAAGACACGAAAACAAAATGTTGAGATTAGGAACTGGTCTTTGGCTGTTTAATTCTATTCATGGTAAACAGCAGTAAAAGCCTTTTATTGTGTTGTTAGAAAAGACTCAAACAGGGAATTTGCCCATTTTCATCACAAAATGTTTTCTCCAAAAAATGATCACTGTATTAATTTCTGATAGATACTATTAAATGGTTATAGTTAACCCTGTAAAACTCTGTAAGTAGAAGTACAAAGAGGTCACTTACAAATTCCAAACTGTCAGCCAAACTAATTGGAGAGTAGTGACATCTACAATGATAATGTATTTTCCAGACAACCATTCTATGGCTAAAGATGAAAAAATTAAACATTTATATAACTATACAGTGGCAGTTTAATTCTCTGAGGACTAGCAGTGTGTCAGAGAATGCAAACTGATAGGTATCATTTATTATTCTTCTATTACAAAGAAATGATTTTCATTTCTTTTCTGGAAAAGGTTTCCAAAGATGCTTCTTGCACTAAGAGATGCAAAAGATGGTTGCAGGAGCAAAAATATTCATAATTGGTTCTTGGTCTGTTGAGTGGTCTGAACAATATCTGTTAATTTCTTGTCACATTTCTTTAGCAAAAAAACTATCTCAATGGACTGCAGATAGTTTTCTACAGAGATTACATTTCTGATAAGGTTGTGTGAGGTGTGTATGAGATAACAATGAGACTAGATTGAAAAGAATATAGACTGGAGTTATGCTTACCCTGTGTAATTACTCATGCTGCTGTTTGACCCAATACATTGTAACTGAATCTCTTTTTGGATGAAGATGATCAGGTGTTTGTTCTAGGGGGAGATTTTCAGAGGCATAATGAGTGATAGGTCCCCAATTTCTATTTGAAGTCAAGGGGTGCAGGGTACCTACTCCACCTTGTGCCTTTGAATATTTGAAGAGCATCCTGTCATAACCAGGGATCCGTGTTTTCCATTTCCCATGGAAAAACAGAGAAAACCATGGATGTCCCCTTTTTATCAGAGAAAACCATGGAGGCACCAGCAGGGCTGGGGGGTGCTGCAGGGGGCTTTTAATTTTAATAACGGATTTTGGGGTTTTTATCAGAGCATTTGTGTGTGTGTGGGATTTTTTTTTTTGTCAGAGAATTTGTGATTCTTTTATCAGAGAAAACCAGGATCTCTGGTCATAGCTTTAAGTTTCTGTTCATTGGCATTTATCTTATATAGGAATGCTTGCCTTGCCAGGATTGTTCATTGTGGCCCTAGTACTGCATAGCAGTTAAACAGATGCTTAAATACCACTGAAAATAGTTTACTCTGTCACATAGTTGGGGTGAAGCACATGCCTAAGTGCTTTATTGGGCTGTGGTCTGTCTGCACTTCTAATGCACATGAGTCTATATTGCCATGTAATTGTGTCTGAGCAAGCATTCATTTGGGCGAAGATTTTTAAATGGAAGAGTGGAAGCCCTCTATTTTGGACCCTGAACAGGAACAGTGATAGACCTGATCCTGCACTGTGCAAGCCATATCCATTTCAATGGAAAAAGTCTGTTTCAGGTTTTTTGATTTGATGCTATATGACAGATATCCTCACATAACCTGTTCCTTCTAAATACACTAGTTTTGACATGTGAGTGGTAGGTTCTTTAGTTCCTTTGCTGCTAGTGCCGTTACACGTGTACTTAGAGAACTGACACTGAGGGCCAAATTCAGACCTGATGTAGGATAGGTATAGCTACATTAGAGTCCTCTGGGCTTGTCCCTGTATCTCTACTCACGTATCATAGGGCCTATTTTTTGTTTTTAGAAGTTGGGTACTCTAGGTTATTCATGGAATACTATTAAAAACATGCATCCTGATATTACTCTTAACTTGAGTGACCCATTGTGAGACTGGATTCTTATGTTTAAAGTCAGCTGTGTTCTGCAATTACTGTATTCTGCATGAATTTTCTCCAACTGCCTGTCTTCCCTGGCCTTCACAAATTTCAAAATCTAGGCATCTGTGATGGGTTTACCACAGCCTCCAAAGAGAAAAAGGTGGGTGCATGCATATATGTATATGTATGTATATAACAAAGGACTCCAAATCCTCTACAGCCAGCTGAACAGAGTTGTGTTGCAGAGTCCGTGGTTTCTGCAGCATGCTCACTTACCATACTGGACATTCTGTGGCAGCTTTCTTTGCAGGTTTGAATCAATTTAGCATGAAAATAAGTAGCAGAATCAGTTCTCAGGTTTTTTGGTGTTGAGCCTCACCTCCATTTATTTTATGATCTTTTCATTTCTTTTGGTGTGTCAACAAAATAACTGCTTCAGGGAGATCTAACAATGAGAGGCGAAAGGCTTGGGTAACTGGGTATGGGACATTTGGTCCATGTGTCTGGCAGGAGTATCAGTGGTAGAATCTGACCTTCTGTCATGTTACTTCAGATGCAGACCGTGCTGCAGTTTGCAGTCTTCTGTGGTCTCAGTAATAGCTCTGCAAGATCAAGGATGATTCTGATGCACTAATTTTACAGCACTGTGACTCCATTCACTACAGTGGAATTACTTGTCAATCAGAATCAGGCCCAAGTGTCTGGAATATTAAGCCAGTCATCAGTAGAGTGAGAGCTTTTTTTGAGCCAAAGAACATTTCAGATTTGAAGGCCTAACAAAAAGAGCTAAATATTACATAAGCAGCCTTTTGTCATGGGATCATCTATGATTGGTAGGTACAGATGTCACTTGGGGCCACTGTCACACAGGATCAGGCCCTGAGCACTTCTAGGGCTTCAGGAGCCTGATCCTGTGGAACAGTGGCTGTGCATGCCTGGTCCCAACCCAGGGAACCTCATGGGGTCTATACTCCATATTTGCAATATGAACCCCCAGGGGGTTCCCTTGCTTGGCAGTGCAAAATGTGTACCCAAGAATTTCTTACCTAGGGTGGATGGAGATTGCAGGCATCTCTGCAATAAGATGTGACAAACCATTACCAGGAATTGTTCTGCAGACCTTTTTGGGCATTTGGGGCATGGTAGAGAGCAAGGACATTCTGTTCACTCATGTTTTGTGCCACCATAAAAAAAATTCTGCTGCAACAAGGGCAAAGTCTGTTTGTAGCCCTAGAGCCATAAGCATCCTGCTTGGCTCTTGATTTTGTGCAGCTGCATTAACCATATCTCTTAATCAGACAAGAAATATGACTCTAGAAGCTTACCTGAGCACAGAGGGGAGAAGCCAAATTCTAGGTGACTGAAGAAATCCCTTTTTCTGGTCAAAAGGGCTGTGAAGAATGTAGCATCAACTGGAACATGTCGTGCCTGAGGGCAGGCTGGGGAGGAATAAAGGCAGAGCAGCTTATCAGAAGTCTGTTTTATCTAGAGGAATGAAAGGGAACCTGCCAGGAAGGTTATCAGCATGTTTATAAAATAGTGGTACCAAGAGCACAAGCACAAACATAGCAATTATTGCAGCAGATGCTAAAGGAGAAGGCACAGGAGAAAAACATTTTCCTAAGGTGATTTATTCATTGTGGGCTGCAGAAAATGATGAAGAAAATCAAGGTAGTCAGGTTACAGTAATAACAGTGTTTCCCCACTGATTCTTGAGAGTCTGATTCATAGACCCTGGTTGGTACAGGCCCTTACAGTCTATGTAGCATCTTGATATAGAAGCTGCTCATGAAAACCAGGAGCTTCTGCCAAAATGCTGAAAATTGTGCTTAAACTAGAAGAACGTTAACATTTAGAATCTGCTGCTAGGTGCAGGGTAGTTTCTCTTCTTGGGTTTTCAGTTGCAGTGGGAGAATTAGTGTGATGTTGCAGAGGCATGCCTCAGCTGTGGAGATTATTTATTTCCTACACAAAATAAGAGAGGGAATCAGATCTAATCTTCTCCCCTTTTAGTGATCTTGGAGAGACAGGCTCCTGAATTCTGTTAACCAGGGTTCTTAGGCCCTGAGAATTTGCTTAGAGCCTTGTCATTAAAATCAGTAGCAAAACTCTCATTGACTTCAATAGAGACAGAGAAAATTATCTTTTTACAAATCTCTCCTGTTCTGACACATGTCCCTAAGCTGCAGGAATGCCCTGGTAGCTGTAGGTCTAGTCTTCTACTATGGATTCCTGTTGCTACCCTTTGCAATAGGAAAG